ACAGATATTATATATCACAATCGTCAATTATATTTAAAGACTGTCAACTTTGCGTATTAATATACTAAATAGAATAGAATTATTGCTATTGCAAAAAAATAGCATCAAGAAATCGTTACATATTAAATGAGTTACCTCTTCTCAGAAAACGCAATTCCAATAGAGTTTGTTTGATGTAACCATTCGAGATAACGGGCTCTAAAAAAACAGCAAAAATAATCTGTTACTAAGACCAATAATGTAAATCTGTATGCTAACCATATTTTTTCAAAGGCAGTTTATGCCTAATAGTCCATTTTTTTACCGAGGAATCATCCAACAGCGCGCAGTATTAGCATCTTTGTATGAATGATTGTTAATAATGGTATTTTTATGTAAAAAGGATGGTGAACAAGCATATAGCCCGCCTGATGCTAAGCGGTCACCATAGCCTATAGAAGAAAAATATTTGTTGTTATTTTACCACCAGTGGTAGTTAGTTCCATAGACGGGCGCTTCAATTCAAACGGAAAATATGCTATACCCTACCTCTCTTAGATGGTCTGTAGGTTTCGAAAAGAGTGACAAGGATATAAAAACTGGCCAAGCGCGTGTCTGGCCTCGCTCTATTAGAGTTCCGTACAATAAAATAATCCTGTTATTGAAGCTATCTAATAGTATCTGTTGGTCTTGCAGTGTGTGCTCGGGGATGGGATTTTATCTCTTGTACATTGGGTTCCCAAGTTGGTGGTACATACCAACCATCTTCCCTATTGAAATTTGGATATTTTTTAATCTCAATAGCCTCGCGCATCATTTTAGGAATGATTCGTTGCTCAGTTGCAAGGATCTGTGGTTTATCAAATCTAATGTAATGGTTTGGTCCGCCTTATGCATATTCACACACTGCAGACTTATTTTCGCGAACATGCATTAGGTATATTATAAGGGTTATTTTTTTTTAATATATCATGATCAGAGTAAAAAAAAAACAGATATTATATATCACGATGTTTGTTTCTTTCGATTGGTCGAAACACAAATAAATATAACTGGTAACTAACAGTGGTCGCTAGCCTTATCTAATCCAAGATTTGAAGCCCAGCCAAAATACAGATTAATAGAGTCCTGCAGGAATCCAATACGGATCCAAGTTGCAATTTGCCGGTAAACTTCGTAACTTGCCCTTTACTTAACTTTGATTAATATTATCATAATGCGGTTGATTCTGCGAAATATCGGACAGGCCCGCGCCCTGATTGTGACGTTATTGCTATTGTGAAACTTGACAAAGAAAAATAATTTCCTAGCCTTCTGAGTAGTTATACTCTTTATCTATTACTTCTGAGCCTGTGTACCTACTATAACAGAATATGGCCTCAAACGGAGATTCAAATATGTTATTGATAAACTTAAGATTTACAATATCTGCCATATTCTGGATGCACTTTGAAAGTATTAATTAAAATTGTTGATAATTTAAAATATCATCTTAACCATGATTATTACACAACTTAGATATTTTCTAATATAAGACAAAAGCTTTTTAACAGACAACGATAGGCAAGAAAGGGACATACAGGGTGACTAATACAGATATTTGGATGAAAATGTAAATGTATCTAACCTAACGCTTTATGTTCCTTGTGAAGTTCGGAAAATGGACAGCTTTGAAGCGTGAAAAATAAAACCCGGGAATCCTTTTCATTAATTATGTTACTAATACAATACAATGAATGTAAAATGCGTTATTATTAAATAGACAAGCACATTTTGCATTGAGTCACAATTGAGCTATTAAACACATGTGGGTAATATTTATGAAACGTTAAAATTCGTTTGGATAAATAAAGATGTACAGGCCTGCCTACTAAACATGGTTGCCTGGCGAGATATTTATTATTCTAGGTCAGACTATAGTACGACAAACACCCACTGCCACTGTAATTGAAAAAGGTTGAATACCTTTTTCAAGGTTTCATAGAATAAAAGACTGGAAGCACCAAACCACTGACCGGACTCATAAAGATAATTTGAAAGAAGTCTAGAAAAAAAAGGTTAATTTATATTCCCAATTTAGTCAACCTTTTTAATTGATAATTCTACAGCGTGAATCGCCCGTAACACCCATTAATCTTAGCTCGTTTGCGGCACCCTAAGATAATTATGGTAATGTTAATTTACAACCCACATTTTCGACTTTGCCAACATAACAATACGACACAGGGGTGTTAACCGTTGCAACTTTGAACGATGGCTGCGCTTGACAGGTTCTCCTTACCACGGGACTGGGTCAACATTATTGATTACTGAATAAGTTGTGTTTTTATGAAACGCATATAAAGTAACCCGATGTCTGTTTAACATTTTGCTGTAACAACATAACAGTTGAGATAATCACCGTACTAAACACACTCCAATATTCATAATATGACTAAATGCTTACAATAGAGAGTCTGGTTTCCTTATTGCAATAATACCTACTATTGTATAATTAAACATGATTCTCTAATCTTGCGTTCCAATTAGTTTCAAATGTCATTTAACGTTTCTGTTCTATGTCGACAATTCAATTGGTATTACCATTGACAAAAACAAAGACATATCCTTAATATCCAATGAAAATTATAGTTCAGGTGGAAAGGGTGTTCTTTGTTTTCAAAGACTCAAGTAATGAAAGGGTTATTATGTACCCACACTGATTCTGCACGAAACTAGGTTTTTTGTTTCAAAACTGTATGTTTTCACTTGGAGTCGTCAATTATATTTAAAGACTGTCAACTTTACGTATTAATATACTAAATAGAATAGAATTATTGCTATTGCAAAAAAATAGCATCAAGAAATCGTTACATATTAAATGAGTTACCTCTTCTCAGAAAACGCAAATCCAATAGAGTTTGTTTGATGTAACCATTCGAGATAACGGGCTCTAAAAAAACAGCAAAAATAATCTGTTACTAAGACCAATAATGTAAATCTGTATGCTAACCATATTTTTTCAAAGGCAGTTTATGCCTAATAGTCCATTTTTTTACTGAGGAATCATCCAGCAGCGCGCAGTATTAGCATCTTTGTATGAATGATTGTTAATAATGGTATTTTTATGTAAAAAGGATGGTGAACAAGCATATAGCCCGCCTGATGCTAAGCGGTCACCATAGCCTATAGAAGAAAAATATTTGTTGTTATTTTACCACCAGTGGTAGTTAGTTCCACAGACGGGCGCTTTAATTCAAACGGAAAATATGCTATACCCTACCTCTCTTAGATGGTCTGTAGGTTTCGAAAAGAGTGACAAGGATATAAAAACTGGCCAAGCGCGTGTCTGGCCTGGCTCTGTTAGAGTTCCGTACAATAAAATAATCCTGTTATTGAAGCTATCTAATATCACTTACTTATGAAAGAGTTCGTTTCCGAGCTAGATATTGAAACATACCTCAAAGGGAAAAATTGTTTGTTCGAAAGTGATAACGGCCATTGGCGGCCCCAAATCTCCTTGCTAATAAAAATAAAAATTGTATTTATATCTTACTCAACGAGCTCTAAACCATGATGTAACACAAGCTAGTGTAAAAAGAAAAGGAAGTCACCTTTTCACGATGGAAACCCCATGAAAATTAACTTACTTGTATTTTCAACTTAATATTTGTCTTTGCGCAAGCATTCGACATGAAATACAAAAAAATCAGTGACTCACTCCGTTTACGATCTCGAGACCCGTGACATACGGACAGATCTTAGGGATAGACGGACGACAGAGAGTGACAGCAATAGGGTTCCGTTTTACCTTTTGGGTACGGAACTTGGGCTTGGACTCTCAGCATTTAGCAACTCTTACAGAAATCGTAAGTTTAAACTTTTTATGGCTGTATGTACTCTTACTACCTACATTTCCTTTTTCTTATTCTGACTCATCAACAATAAGCGCTTGTTTAATCATACATTGCTGCCCTTCATTAGTATCTGATTTAAGAACTCCTCACAAAAGCAGCAGGATACGACTACATGCGCCGACGGCAGCTTTGAGTGAAAAATCGTCATTACGTCGATTCGTTACGTCATTAACTCACGAAGAAAACCTTTTCCTGCTCCATTAACTTCGACCTCTAGATTTTTTGTGTCGCTTTGAAAATCGTATCGTGTAAATGTAAACGAAACTATTCGAGTAGGTATCTTTCAAGATTTGACTACTACTTGAAAACTGGTTGTATACTAGTGGATACCTATTGATTTTATAATTACAAAAAATATTCTAGAAACTAAACTTATTTCAAATAATGACGTCATTAGTGAAAATACGTTTACACAGTTAAAGTGGTACGTAAAGCTCTCCTCCATGGGCGGCCTTATTACATTTTTGCCCTAAATATGAGTAAGCGCAGTTCAGAAATTTAAAAGTTTTAATTACTTGCAAGTTTTGAAATAGGTACCTTTTTCATTTCTTTTTATCGATTTAATGTTTTTCAGTTTCTGAAAGTTATGGATACGAATAATAGTATTATTAGCCATGTAGGTTAAACTGAACGTTCAAGTGCACATAAAGACCATTAAGAATTTGCTTCCGTTTTCTCTGCAAGGTTACACATCATTTCAGAGTTTACGATGTTTCACTGATCGTAAATTCCGAATTATTCTGCCTTTTCAGTTAGCGTGTCACATAACTTTCTTTAACTCGTTCGTAAATGTGATAATATTTTCGCATAGAGCTACAGCCATTTGGTATAATTTTGAATGAAATAGAGCTAACGAAATTATAATATTTCACGTACGATTTACTACTGAAATATTTTTGTGATAGAACATGTCATGATAAAGAATAAATTTAATAAGCTGGCGAAGAATGTTCACATTTGAAATTGAAGTATGATCTTTGAATACCTGTAGATTCTCAGGAAAGCTTTTTAAAATATATTTTGTATTTAAATCTAATAACGTTCATTAAGATAAAACTCGTTGAATTTGAATTAAGTTTTAATATTACAATTTATATGATTTAAAAATACCTGTAATGTACATACCTGATCCGCAAAATAGATATTCAGATGCACCTAAGAAGAAAAAAATATACAAAAACTAAATAAAGAAAATCCGTTAACACCAAAGTTAATTAATGCACTTGAGTTTTTTTTTTTTGTTTTTATATTAGTTCCACAATCACAATGATTTAGGTTCGTTCGCGCGGCACTGAAATGTAGCACTGAGCGCGCGCGTCCACCACCCACGGCGGTCCGAGATGCACTGCTCCTGCCGAGTCCCAGGCTGAAACCCCCCACCCCCTCGCCCCACCTGTTACAGGTGCCTCTCCCGTAAATCCAGAACTAAGTAGCTGCTATTGATGGACATATCAAATTGATTTCCTTCGCTCGCGATTAGCACGCGTCTCGGCTCGACGTTTATAAAATATTTTCGAATCGAATGTTTTCACCAAAAATCAAGCTTTTGGTTGGCACAAATCGCAGATTAGTTTTATGGTTCATCTTCGAGTGAGTTTAACTAACATCAACTCTTTAATAATAAGAAAGTTAAATCAATTCATTTAGTATCTGCTATTATAATCACTAAATATAATAATTACTAAAATTAAATTCAGCAGTGCTATTTACAGCTATTTTCATGTACAGCGCGGATCCGATGTGGATCCACACGGATTTATATAGAAACTGCGCGGATCCACATCGGATCCGCGCTTGAAAATATTACGGAAAAGCACTGCCGATATTTTGTATCTGAAATAGGCTTTCGTGTTATATGAAAAAGTTGGCAAACAAGCATATAGCCCGCCTGATGGTAAGCGGCCACCATAGCCTTTAGAAGCTTGCGATACTAAAGCTATCACTCGCACCGATCCCTACCCTGACTAAGCCCTACCCAACGGAGCCCTATAACCTTACTAACCCGATAGAAACACAACACCACCAAAGAGTAATAATGTTTTACTGTATGGTGTAGATTCTAATGCAAATCGGCTATGCTCTGCCTCACTTAAACTGCCTAGCTGTGGCCCTATCGACTACCCCGTGGAATTCTTAAATATTTTATTGGAGGAATACAACAATAAAATAAATGCGTTATTTGTCTGCAGTATGTTGGATAAGGATGAGATTTAGTCACCAGATGAAACTGACCTTTCAAAAAACACTTATTACAAGTATTATTATTATTAGTTTATAAGAAAACTAAATCTGTCCTATCGATAAACCTTCAAGAAGCAACAGTTTGATGTTGCTCGGCGGTATTATACATTCACGCTAACCCCTTGGGCGTCCCAACGAAAAGAAAATTGGATCTAAAATCAGTTAGGAACGCTACTCCATCCTGAAAATGTAAATTAAGCCGCTACTTTGGGTGAGGGTAAGTTATGATTTTATGTTATTTTAGCTTTACGCTTGAGTGATTTGAAAACACTTTTGGCAACTTTTAGTTTGATCGACTATTGGGAAGTTGTGAAAATTGTTTTGTCATGTTAATACAAATGTTGAAATATTTAGGTAAAATAAATAAATAAATATTTCCAACACTCACACCAATTAGCCTAGCTCCAAAGTAAGCACTGTAAGGCTTGTGTTATGGGATACTAGGGTAACGGATAGAATACATATACTGTACATATATAAGTATATTTATATAGAAATACATATTAAACATCCATGACTGGGGTACAAATGCTCGCATTCATCACACAAACGTCTGCCCCCACCGGGATTCAAGTCGGCGACACCATGAAACCCGGCGTACAAACCACTCGACCACGGAGGTCGTCAAACAAATGTATTCTTTTTTAACAAATTGTAGGGCTGGTTTATTGACTTTTACTTACGAATTTAAATTAAAAGGCAGTCTGAAATCTCGATTTAATAGATAAAGATTGGCTTATTTATATTTCAAATCTATTTTATACCTTAAAGACACTGTATGTCATTCTTTGTTGTATGTACGTGTATTGTGTAATTTAATTACGTCGATGGTTAGCTTTAATGAAATACTTTTTAAGAGATGTAGGGCATAGCGGATTTTTCGCAAGAATAGGCGTGATGACGGGGTACAGTAAACGAAATTCTATTTAGTCCCTCAGTTAGATGATTCAAAAATAATGGACACATATTTTTTCTTTGGGCAATCAACCAAGAAATGACAAAGTTATAGCGCGTCAAAGTTTGGAGGTAGGGGCTCGTGACGTCACTTTTAAGTGAAAATTGTACCAAAACGTGACATCATGCGACTTTTCAAATCAATATATCTCTGCAATGTTTATATTATGTGAAAAAAGAAAAAAATACTTGTCCAATACTTTTTGATAATCTACCTGATAAACGAAGAAAAAAAATTAGTCATCATTCCTATTGGAGTGCCCATCTGGAGAAACAACCTCCGCCTTATAGAAGACCACAGTATAATAACACCATCTTCTGGTGGTGTTGTATTTCTGCTGATGAGTATGGTTCCAGTGCTCCGTGGGGTAGGGGATTAGCTTCAGGCCGGCAAAGTGAAGAGGGCTGGAGCGGCACATGTTCTGCCGCGTCATCTATCTTCGCAACTCGACTCCACTTACACTTAACATTAGGTGGGGTGGAGTAATTTGTTGCGCCTCGTAGAAAAAAATGGTGTTGGTACATTTTATTTGTTTTATTATTTACTAACTTACCGCCCGTACCCTTTGCAAGGGTGGACTAGTACTTTCAATCGCATGTTTTTCCCCCTGTATCCCTAGTAGGAACCAATATCGAATTCGAATAGTGTGCGAGGGCGGAATGTCACTGTTAAATTTTGTATGGAAACTTGAACAACAGCGCCACAACGGACGTAACGAGAAGTTAAAACCAGTATATATTTGACGTATAAAAAAGATCGAATTCGAACAGTTTGCGAGTGCGAAATGTCATTGTCAAATTTTGTATGGAAACTTGAACAACAGCGCCACAACGGACGTAACGAGAACTAAAAATCAGTACACATTTGATAATGACATTTCGCACTCGCAAACTATTAGAATTCGATATGAGTTCGTGCTAAGGGTACTGAGGGGTTGAAGTTACAAAAATACTACATAACATTTTTCGCTTTTCTAGGTCAACAGTAATTACTTACGCTCACAAATTCAAAACTTGAAAGTAATATTAGAAAACAGTCATATAGGTACAACTTGTTCGAATTAGATATTAGTTAGATAAACATGTCATATTGTTTAAAATGTAGGTGTTTTAGTCTCGATACGACTGAACCTGAAAAAGGTCTGAAACTTGAATAAAAATCTTTGAATATAACACTTTTGAACAAGTATAAACCGCGATTTATATTTTTTTACACTAGCGGCCGCCAGCGACTTCACCCGCGTTAACTTAAATCTTTTGAAAATCCAATGGGAACCAAACATAACACTTTTCTGGGATGAAAAGTACGTTATCCTACAAGAGGCATAGGATACTTTAAGGTTAAAAGCTGTTTGTGTGTAAAATTTCATTCAAATCTTTTCAGCCGTTTTGCGTGATTGACTAATGTTATGTTAAATAACTGTTTGGCTGTATGAGGTCGGTGTGCCTATGCCACTGAATGACGATATCACTAGTCTGTGCTTGGGAGCGCGAGTTTGACACAGTTCAAAATGCACTAAATCTGTGTTTTATTTATTTAACTAATTGTCCATGATCTACATTATCTTTGGCCCAATTAGGGAGTACCACAAATTGACGACGAGTTGAACGTATATTAGGATTATGACGTTCCTTATGACAAGGTGGCCAGCATCCAATGTTGATATGGAGCGCATAGAAGGAGTCCAACGTAGATTTCTCAGGATACTCTGGGTGGGCATTATGGGTTTCACAGAATAATTAAAGGTAACGAAAACAGGATGATAAGATTTAACATACAGTCCCTTGAATCTAATATTTTGATTTGACTTTGTGCGGATGTGCGAAAGTTTACTTTGTCTGGTAATATGAAATAACATGCTCATTGTACTTGAGTTCTTAAATTCTTTCGGTACCATCACAATTGGTAGATTTAACTGTAATATTACAGTTGTGTAACTGTCTCTGTGTGTATCACTTACGATGAAATGAATGAAATATTTGTAACATTTAAATTTGGGAGGGTTGCTACTGCCCCTAATTTATTGGTCAGTTATATAGGAAACTATTTGAAATACCAATATTTTTTTGTATTATCAGTCAAATACCATAATCGACATATCAATATATATTTCACTGTTTTTCAATCACATCTTCACAATCGTATGGACATCGTTTCGAATAGCACCACATTCTTCAAACTGCCATTTTCTTTCGATACTATTTTAAAATAATTTAAAAGTTCCATCATAAACCCAACTTTACAACAATGCTTTGATAGAATAAAATCTTAAGTATAAAAAAATGAACCTTGCATAAAATAAACTTATTATTTTACTTTTTGTAGTAAAGGACGATTAACGGTAACAAGCATAAAAAAGTGAACTTCAATAATTTCTTAAAAAACTATTTAATTTTACAATATAACTAGCAAACCAGGCGAACTCCGTTCCGCCATCAGATGGCTTCGTTTTATGTAACATTTCGTTTGGTGATTAAAAGAAGATTTTTTTTTTTGATATTTTTCCTGAATTTTCTTTGCTATAAACCTCACGGAGCCCGAGACCTTTCCAACGAATGCAAAACCGTGGAAATCGGTTCGTGCATTCTGGAGTTATAGCGTCAGGAAGGAAAACCCGACTTATTTTTATATAGTAGATTTATTAATGATGGTCACCATGCGATTTGATATTCTACTCTATCAATTACAGTTATGCACTGGTTACTGCGCAATAGAGACTGCCGTCCAAAAACTGAGTCTCTTTCGATACCGTTTTTCCTTTCTTTTAAATCTAATAAAAAGTAGACCTTAAGCACTTTTGTTAATCACAAAATCGCTAGTGAACATTCCTGTTACCGTTAGGTATATCAATTCCTTGACATAAACCTTTTCGCCAGAGACTACAACCGTACCCTCTTTGCCAGACACCGCATGCTTGCATGGACACCGTGCTGTTATTTCAAAGCATTCAGAGGTATTTAACCAAATACTAATAGTTTAGTTAACTGGGTAACAGTTTCTTCTAACGATAAATGTTACTACATCAGCTATTGTATTTATCGTTAAAAATACTTTTTTTTTTTATATATGTGTTTGCAATTATATACCTACGTTTGCTAAAGATAAATACAATAAGTAATGTATTTA